GGGCAGACACTATCGGAATCACTGCAGTCGGATTGCTGTTAGAGAAAATAACATCGAATCGTACATTGTTGCGATTATTGATAGAAAGTCCCAGCCTGTTCTTCACAAACGGTCCAAGCAGACACTTACAAGTAAATAGTCTTTTGGTAGCAGAGTGAGGAAAAGCGAATGGGTGACAGGACTTCGAGTCTCAAAGAGATGCAAATAACGTTGTGGTGACGACTTGTCGAAATATGTCTCTTCTCACTGACCTCTCAAGTGTATAACAAGCGAGGTGTAGATCGAAGCTGTCTTGGTTTAAGGGCGTAGAAAGAGCCTCCATTAAGATGTCCGAGCAGTGACTCTTCGACTGTTTGGGATACAAGTGGAGTAGCTACCCGCTTTAGTGCCTAAGGTATCAAGAACTGATGCTTGGACTAGATAGCTGTAGGCTGAATTGTGTTTTATCATACCAACCATGTACAAGTCAAGGTCATAAGGGGCCTACCTTCGCTGAAAGATTGGAGGAGCACAGTCGGACCCTTTGCAGCCTACTCTTCTCTTTCCAACACAATTTTGTCAAGGATCGTGCGGGCTTACTGGACGGCTTATACGAGAAATTTTCTACACTCACAGTGTGATAAACCAAATCCGATTAATCGTATGGTAAAAGCTTTTATGAAGAATCTTAGGGAACAAACTTGCATACTGAACATGGAGAAGGGAACCAAAATCCTAGTGAAGCATAGTCAACACTTCTCGACAGGTACTATTACCCAGTGCCCCAATCTGAGTACTATCGACTAGTAGTAAAGAGCGAAGAAAGAATCGCCTGATTATCTAAGAAGTGAAGTCCAGCAGCCAACCAGGGCTTGAAACCCAGGTTTAGCTCAGCCGAGAACGCGCCAAAACCGGCAGTCCTCGAAGAAGCGGATTGGGTGAGAAATGAAGGGGCAAAAAAAAAAAAAAAAAAAAAAAAAGTCGAGGAAGGAAGGAAAAATTGCAAAGTGGGTTTCTTTTTTTTTCATCCAAATTTTAACCGCTCCCACTCCAGCGCCTGGGGCAAAATTTATTTAGTCTTCCTCTCCTCCAACAATCGTCCTGCCTTTTGGCATCATTTCAATTTTTCTATCCTATCTGTCTTGAGACATACACATTTGTCAAAATGGCCGACGAAGTTTACGAAGGTGCCATCGGCATTGATCTTGGTGAGCCATTTCCCTACCGTGTTGTCCCAAGTAATGACTGACGAGATACTTTAGGAACCACCTACTCTTGTGTGGCCAACTACGAGGGTACCAATGTTGAGATCAGTATGTCGTTACCTGTGTCCTCTAGATACGGCGCTGGTGAGCTTATAAACATGCAGTTGCCAACGAGCAGGGTAGCTACACTACCCCATCCTTCGTTTCTTTCACCGACAAGGAACGCTTGATCGGTGAAGCCGCGAAGAACCAGGCCGCTATGAACCCTACGAACACCATCTTTGACATCAAGTAAGCAGCTTTTCGCTGGACATATGTTCACTATTAATCAAATACAGGCGTCTTATCGGTCGGCGGTTCGAGGACCCCATTGTCAAGAAGGATGTTGAGTCCTGGCCCTTCAAGGTTGTTGATCAGGGTGGAAACCCTGTGGTTGAGGTCGAGTATCTCGGCGAAACCAAGACTTTCAGTCCCCAAGAAATCTCTTCTATGGTTTTGATGAAGGTAACATTCCTTTTCATCCCAATCACGCGGAATTGCTTGCTACATTCCCTCTTGCGATACTGACAGATCACTCCAGATGAAAGAGGTTGCCGAAACCAAGCTCGGAAAGAAGGTCGAGAAGGCAGTCATCACCGTGCCCGCTTATTTCAACGACAACCAGCGCCAGGCTACTAAGGATGCTGGTGCCATTGCTGGTCTCAACGTGCTCCGTATCATCAACGAGCCCACTGCAGCAGCGATTGCTTATGGCCTTGGCTCCGGCAAGTCTGATAAGGAGCGTAACGTGCTCATCTACGATCTTGGTGGTGGTACTTTCGATGTGTCTCTCCTTAACATCCAGGGTGGTGTCTTCACTGTCAAGGCTACTGCTGGAGATACCCACCTTGGTGGTCAAGACTTCGATACCAACCTCCTGGACCACTTCAAGAAGGAGTTCCAGCGTAAGACTGGCAAGGACCTCTCCGGTGACGCGAGAGCCCTCCGTCGTCTCAGAACCGCCTGCGAGCGTGCTAAGCGTACTTTGTCCAACGCTACCCAGACTACTGTGGAAATCGACTCTTTGTTCGATGGCGAGGACTTCAACTCTTCTATCACTCGTGCTCGTTTTGAAGACCTGAACGCCAAGTCTTTCTCGGGTACTCTCGAGCCTGTGCAGCAGGTCCTCAAGGACTCCGGCCTTGAGAAGAGCAAGGTCGATGAGATCGTCCTCGTTGGTGGTTCCACCCGTATCCCTCGTATCCAGAAGCTGCTTAGCGACTTCTTCGATGGCAAGAAGCTTGAGAAGGTAAGTGCTACTCTCGCCATCTGTCTAACAAGTCTTGTCCTAACGAATTTGAATTAAAGAGCATCAACCCCGATGAGGCCGTTGCCTATGGTGCCGCCGTCCAGGCCGGTATCTTGTCTGGAAAGGCTTCTTCGGCTGAAACCCAGGACCTCCTCCTGCTTGATGTCGTTCCCCTTTCTCTCGGTGTTGCTATGGAGGGTAACATCTTCGCTCCTGTTGTGGCCCGTGGTCAGACTGTCCCTACGATCAAGAAGCGCACTTTCACCACCGTTGTCGATAACCAGACAACCGTGCAGTTCCCCGTTTACCAGGGTGAGCGTACCAACTGCGCTGACAACACCTCTCTGGGAGAGTTCACCCTCGCTCCCATCCCCCCCATGAGGGCTGGAGAGGCCGCTCTCGAGGTCGTTTTCGAGGTTGATGTCAACGGTATCCTCAAGGTTACTGCTACCGAGAAGTCCTCTGGACGTAGTGCCAACATTACCATCTCCAATGCCGTCGGCAAGCTTTCCACCACTGAGATTGAGCAGATGATTGACGGTACGTTTGACGCAGTCAGAGATCGATGCAGACATACTGACATTTTCTAGACGCTGCGAAGTTCAAGTCTAGCGATGAGGCTTTCACCAAGAAGTTCGAGTCTCGCCAACAGCTCGAGTCCTACATCTCGCGTGTTGAGGAGATTGTTTCCGACCCCACCATGTCGCTGAAGCTGAAGCGTGGCAACAAGGAGAAGATCGAATCGGCACTCAGCGATGCCATGGCTCAGCTTGAGATCGAAGACTCGACTCCTGAAGATCTCAAGAAGAAGGAGCTTGCTCTCAAGAGACTTATCACCAAGGCCATGGCCACTCGGTAAACAAATCTCTGCGATCCTATCATGCTCTAGGTGCGGCACCATACAATTGCCCTTGCCTCTATCATTCACCCTTCAGTCCCACTATCCAACTTGCGCAAAGTGACCGATTTCTTTGCTTCACCTTAGATTGGAGACCTTAACGTCGTCTACGGAATTTCCTTTTAGATGAGGCGTGTTTATTCATGACCGGGTACAAAATTGCAAAAAGTAATTTACGAAAATTTTATATATGAACTTTTTTATCATCTTAATGCTCTTCTTACGTATGACTGCACGAGCCCTTTGCCAAACCAAAGTGTATTGCCCCTATAGACATTGCCTCTGTATCTCCCGCACCACCGTTAGACTTTGAGAAAGGCGACTTGTTAGAATTGCCATTTGAAACAGCCTTCCATAACCATTTTGTAGGTCGTCATAGCTACCATGGCGAGCTGCTTGTGTTCTAAATGTACTAATCTTGTAATTTACTACGCGGAGACATCGGTGGCTCGCTAGGAGACGCGTGATCAGGAAGTGGCTCTGTTCCCTTTGCCTCGGCAGTGTATCTTACTAAATCCTACCAACCTCGTCTATAACTATTCTTGCGCGCAGTTTGCTTCGAGCAACTGTACCCTGCGTGATTTCTTATTACTGATAAGCATATAGGACCCATACCCAACAAAGTCGGGCATCTGAAAAGCAGAAGAAGAGCGAAAATGCAACGCCGTGCGGCAGTTACCGGCCTCAGTTATATGCGTCGCTGCTCAACGTTTACTGGATTGCGCTATAACTTGATTTCTGAGCATCAACTTCGGCCTTGGACTCAGCATAAGGTAGCAATTCCGTCTGACAAAAGAAGCTTTTCCAGTTCGCCTTTTTGGTGTAAAAAGAAGGACAAGACAAAAGCTACATCTGGTGCAGATTCTGGGAAGCCGTTGCCAAAAGTAGGCGCAAGTTCTGAAGACCCGCATGATTTTTCACAGCTGCATGATGGCATAGCGGCTGCCCTGTCTCGACTCAGAGACGAGCTCTCTAAGATGCGTGTGGGGGGGAGGTTCAATACCGCTTCAATTGAGAGTCTTCGTGTGCAGCTGAACAAGAGCAGCAAGCAATCGATCAAGCTGGGCGATCTTGCCCAAGTTGTTCCTAAGGGTGGACGGATGGTGACTATCTTGGCCTCTGACGAAGATGTGAGTTACTGACTGGTGCCTTGAAATTGTCTCTACTATCGTGAAGCCGACAAATTCTCTCAATATTTTTCGAGTCTTAGTTCTGACACAGACTGTCTTTGATATAGCATGTGAAGCCCATTCGATCGTCAATAATTTCCTCCAACTTGTCGTTAACTCCGCAAGCCGACCCTCACAATACTCTTCAGCTCAACGTCACGATCCCCCCACCGACTAAAGAGTCTCGGGATCAAACGATCGCTCTGGCAAAGGCGGCAATGGAGAAAGCTGCCGGTGCCGTCCGTGATTCACGCAGTGCTGTACATAAACGTCTTCAGGATTTGCAGAAAAAGAAGATTGCCAGGCCAGATGACGTTCGGAAGGCCCAAGAACAGATGGAAAAGCTTGCAGAGAAAGGTCAGAAGGAAGTGAAGGAACTGTTTGAGGCTACAAGGAAGGCTATGGAGCGGGCGTAATGAGGAAATACACTGCTGAAAGACCAGCTTTGAGTGAACTCAGATGGGGATATGAACACGAGTTCTGTAACTTATTTCAGAGAGTAATGTATTCTACAGTCACTTGCAAGGCATAAATGTAAACAATGACAAGGATAACAAGGGATCATGAAAAGCTGCAAAAGTATAGGTACATAGTAAGGATACTGATGGTATCAGAAAACAAGGTTCTCAGGCGCGTTTTGTCATGCGACTGGCGGCTAAAAGCGAGTCCAACTTCGCAATGAACGCAGAGGATTTGCCGACCGTGTGATACGTTGCATTGTTTCTGAGGTTTTCAGAGACACTGTCAACAATTGAGAGGTTGTCCGCCTGTTTGGCTTTAGACTTAGGATAATTGCCCTGAACAAGAAGTCCAAGAAGTGAGCCTTGGTCCTTGGTGTTGAGTGGACTGAAGTCGACATGACGTGGTTCCACAAGATCGCCTTTTCGCTGGGACAACTTGTCTGCGCGTTCTTGCGATAGCTTGTTCGCTTCAGAGATGGCCTCAGCTTTTTCCTCTTCACTCGAAAAGCGGACAAATTTGCCCTGATAAAGTCGCTTGCCCAGCTCATTTGGAGGTACATAATCATTTGCGTAGCGATCGCCGAATAGAGACAGCTTCTCAACGACTCCAGCAGTATGAGCGTCAATGTCGGTGGGTAGAGATGGCCATGTTTCCTTCAGTGAAGCTAAGGAGATCGACTCGGGATTGTACTGGACAGGCTTGGGCGCCGCTTGTTCTGCGAGCTCTCGGAAGACAGCGTTGATTGAGGCTTCATGGAATGCTGAATTGGATGTTGAATCTTCCTGGCCAGACCTTTCGGTGCGTCGAGAACGGCCAGCTCGCCCATCTTTAGATTGAACCTTCTTCTTTGGCCCAGCTCTAGGGCCCCGAGAAGCGGTGGATCGGTTGCCTCGAGGATTGCGAGCCCTGGGATTCTTAAGGATGTTTGCTGGTTGGCCAGTGGCTTGAGAGGCGGCGAGAGATCTCGCATCTACTATCCGTCGGGGACGAGGTCGTTCTTGGTTGACGCTCCGAATGTTCAGGTTCGCCGGCGGAATGTTGTTTCTTCTGGTTTGCGTACTGGGACGTCCGGCGGCGGAAGAGGCTGCGGAACCCTCGGTTGCATTCGCATCTGCATTAGTTAGAAAGACGAGTGACTGTGGACTGAGATATGATAGTATGCCCGGACGATAACAACAAGTGTCCAGGACAGAGACCAGTTGAGGGAGGGAAAGTAAGACGAGAGCAATGCAACTGTGAACTGGGCGGACGGAGACTATAGCGGAGCACACTTACTGGAGTGATTGGAATCTTTCGCTTGTAAATACGTAGCCGAAAACCGACGAATTGATGAAAGAGTCCCTTCTATTGCCCTGGCACGCCGAGGGCGTAGAAGCACCATCCGTTGTTGGAGCATCCTTGTTGATGGATATCTAAGGACTGGATAAGAGGGAGACTAAAAATGTTCGTTACCTCTAAATGCTACAAAGTCACGTGCTGCGCGACAGAAGCATACTCCAGACAACTCCCGTGGGAGCGGCAAGCCTCTCTAGTCACTACTCATTATTATCCTCATAGCTTCGGTATCACGATCAAATATGTTGCGTCGCAAACCCACCGCTATAGCTATAACCTCCGAAGACCTTGCGACTTTTGAACAATCACGGCTCCGACAGCTCTCCAAAGAAACTCGTACCGAAGGCCATGCCAGCACCAGCTCCAATGTCAATCTTGACCCCAGCGATGAGCTCAAGCCATTGCCAGGGGACAAGGCGAGAATAGTCCGCTCGCGTGAAGAGCGCATCGGCATCAATCGACGCAATTAACTCTCGAAGGGTTTGCCCAACACGTTGGCTTCTCCTGGCTACCAACTCATGCCTAGTATTTGGGCATCATCAGCACTTCCTAAGACCAAGAGAGCCCCGATTGGCAATGAATAATTCGAATGTCCTACACACATCAAGGTTTAGCCTTGCGCAGGTCAAATCCTCCTGCTACAAGTGCATATTTTACAGCAATATTATTACCCCCACAACTTGCGCATAACATTTCTTAAATCTATTCTCGACGGCGTGCTTGGTTTGTAATCTATACTGCGAATCTTACACTTTTCACTATACCACGTCTCTATTCCTGCCTGTCTCATAATTTCCTTATGATTATAGTATCAACTGGGATCGTCATAGAATAGAGGCCACTGCAAGCCGATGGAGATTTATCTCGGTCGACTGAAGTGGCCCAACACATAATGCCAGAGTAAATGAAAACAATTTCACTGGGCGGACGCTCTGTTAAAATGCGGAGTGATAGACCATATGCCATTACAGCGTTGATTTGAAATAAGATCCTTATGTTACACAAGAGAAAAAGAGAGAGAGAGAAGCAGTAGCTAAAAACTTTTAGCGTTGTGTGGTACTCATTTGGATAAGCTATCATTTGTACATGGAAAGCATGTCTGCTTTGGGAGCAAAGTAACATGACCAGCATACCTACAGGAACCAGCTACCAAGAAGACACGCCAAGGTGAAAAGAGCGAATATCTCTGGCGGGCGCTATAAATTGCAGCAACCAGGAACTCTAGAAGTGACCCCCGCGTTTTGACGACAGCCCCGAGTCTCCCAGCTGTGCTGAATAGAACGCGTTACCGCTGGCGCTTTGAAGTGCCTTCGGTTCCTAGGTCGACTGAATAATTCCACCGCCGTTTGAGACCGTTTGGATCGTACACACTAGCTACACTTTGTTGCCAATCTCGCGCCGTGAACAAAACTTGTTGCCCGGTGAATTGAGTTTGCGGCATGGGAGCTGGCGCGACCGAGGTAACCTTTGATTGCTGCTCATATTGTACGGGGAAATGGTCAGGTAAAGAAGGTTGAACAGCCTGAGCAGGATTGCTCAGAGCCATTGGTGGGGAGTTTGTTGTCACAGTGGGTGTACCAATTGAAAATGCCATATCCCATTGACTACACGGTTTGTAACAGTCAGCGGCCATTTCTCGGGGTTTAAATGTTTTTTTCTTGGGAAAGGGGTTCCTTACTTGATAATACGAGTAGGATCCCAGCTATTTTCATCAACCAAAGGCGCATTCATTCCGTGGGTGGAGATCGATTGGGAGGGGATTAATCCCAAGGGCTGGAGCTGAGAGGAATCGGACTTTGAATCTTCAGTACCAGCTGATATTGGAGGAGTTACAGGATAAGCTGCATAACCCACTCTACTTTGAACGCCAGGTACTTGACTGATTTGAGAAGCGTAATGTGAATCTATTGGCGGGCTTGGGTGATATGGCTCGGAGGGACTCCCATATGGGAAAGTTGGCTTCAAATCGAAAGGTCGGTTCACATCAGCTGAAAAGGCGAAACGCAGTGAATCGATTTGCGCTTGTAACTCTGGCATAGGCCAAGCAGAAGAACAACGCTCAAGTATTCGCATGTGTCGTGTGAAGTATTCCCGCGCGTCCGTATGAAAATTCGGGTCTGGAGATGTTATGGCCACCTGTTGTAGCGTTAACTGACCGTCAATACCATAAAAGGCCCAGAATCCTCACAAGGTGCAGCATTGTGCATGTCAAGATGGTGTATATTGTGAAATTTATGCCCCTTTGCATGAAAAGCAGGCCAGACAGCCCAAAGCGGTTCAGAATGGCTTCTTGGAGCCTACAAAGGTATTTTGCCGAAGAGTAGCATAACGCCATATGCATCTTCCAACCTCCCCCTGCCGCAAAAGATTTGGAGGCTATTAATTGTGGACGATGCAACAGGATAATCCCAAGATGACAGTGGGAGTGCATATTTCCGACAAAATGCGATGGAATCCATGGTGGTGAGCCATCGGGAGGATAGTTGACTTGTAGATCCGGTGGTAAACTCTGAAGCCAGTCGGTAAAGAGAGGGTTCTTTTCAACGAACTTAGGATTAGCCCCCCAATCTTTTTGTTTCTTTATCTTATGATATATGTCGGCAATGATGCGAATATGGCGTGCATTTCGGACGAAGTACGCATATTGCCTTGACCGATCCATTTCGAACTGATCAAGGCCTCTGATATCCAAAGTTGGACTCGTATTTACTGTCTCATGGTCCACACCGTAATCGGAGCGCCCTGGAAATAGTCAGCCAGTATATATACTACGAGAATCAAAAGACGTACCCTGCGGCGCCCCTATCATGACTTCGACAACCAGAAGGGCCTGCCAGACCCGTGTCTGCACCAAGCATTCTACAGGATTCAAGTCGCAAGACCTGCCTTCCGTGTGGAGATTGTTATGCTCATGGATATCCAGATCTTTCGCCATGGAGATGATTGTTTTGACAGTTTGCCAAGAACGGTAATAATAACCTTTCTTAGGCCGTGACTCTCGGGCCTTCAACAGTAGAAGCAGAGCTTGTATCGTACTGAGGCGAGGTTCGTCCATAAAACTAGATTCGTGCCCTAACAAGATAATTCGCAGTCAGTATACGACGTGGTGTACAGGTGCGTAGGTATGTTTGTCGCCTCACTGTTTGCTAATGCGAGCCACTGTGCTCCTTGGGCTGGGTCGTCCGATAGCCTCCCTGCGCATGCAAATAGTGCCTCGAGTAGAAGCGGAGATATTGAGCTTCGTTCGTGTTGCCACTGATAGTACAGATGAGATCGATGGATGACAGGGACGTAAGGATGAATATCATCAAAATATATCTTGAAATAATTCATGACCTCGTCATCAGATGGCATGAGTTCGGGCGGGATGCGTATAGTGGCTCCAGCTCCGGTACTGAGAGGTGGTAACTTTTCGTCTACTTCATCCTGGGTCGGGATTTCTGGTTCAGCCCTTTCCCTTCGTTGCTGTCTGATGTACGGCGCTGAATCTATGTTAATACGTTCCGTCTGTAAGACACGTTACGAAGGCTAGAATAGCTCACCAATACCAGTCTCGTCTATCTTGAGCTCCCCTAAGACCTCGCTGAGGTTCTCTGCAGTGGACTGGTCGTGCTCACTGTATATATCACTTTCTGCGGTTCCCAGAGGCTGAGTTTGATCGTTGGAGAACATCTGTGACTGAGTGTATTGATGATGTGGCATGGCCACTTGGGGCGACCTCATGTCGTAGACATTTGGCTGGCCTGGAGTAGAATGCGCAAATTGCGGATAGATCCCGATGTTGTCATTATATGGGTGCATGCTACTCATTGAAGGTGGCCCGGAATCTCGATATGTTTGGGAGCTCGTATATGACGATAGTGCGGGTTCTGATGTGTTCGACGCGCCCAACGAGTCGACAGGATTGGTTTCAACGCTTTCCACTGCAGGATACTCGCCATCATGCCCAATTGTTGGAGGAACGCATACTAACTTCAAGCGTGTGCATGCCGAACAAGGCCACGTGTTTGTTGTAGCAGCATCACACTTGATCTTCCGTTTCCTGCAGCCATTGCAAGCTCGCATTACTGAAGATAGGCTCGTAATTAGACGCAACGAAGTCAAGTCCACTATCGGTCAAACTTACCTTTGAGCCTCTTATGCCTGTTATGTTCATCAACGAATACATAGTCTGTATCAAAAGCGGTCAACATATAACTGAAGCAAGAGACGGGCAACAGATTCAAATGACAAATGGTAACTACCGAGGGGGAGGGGGTCTTACTTTTCTGGCCTTCCCTGGGTGGGCCTGTCGGGGGTGTGAATGTGAAACCTTGCATCTTTGCAGGGACAGCGACACAAGCTATGAGGCAGCGCAGAAAAAAGTGGACCGGACCAGCATGCAACAATCTTCAGGTCCCGGAGAAAAAGAGAAGTTGAGGCAAAGGAAAGTATCCGCAGGACCTGCCTTATGCGGACGGAACCAATGTAGAATGTATTCTGAACCTTTCACTGTCGACTTAATGGGCGCTAGTAGGGTCTTCACACTATTGTAGCTTTAATCCCACACTTGCGCAATGGATGCCACTCCTGATATGAGTAGGGGAGAGGAGATGGGAAGGAGGTGTAACGAGTTGCGACCGAGAAGAACGATGCGGTAAGGTAGGAATATCTATCGTCAACCGCGGGAACAAGACAGCGTCATCCGGCGATAAAAGAGTGTGACCTGTGGTCTCTGTACTATGGTCTCCTGCATCGATCTGATCAGTTTTCGAGTCATAGATGGGTGCCATCAAGACAGCGCAGCTATGGGTGTAGCGGAATTTTGAACCCTAGGAGTACTGGCGCAACTGACAGTTTCACGAAAGGTAAGCTTCAAGAAGGTCGAGTTTGCTGCGATCCCATTAAGCGGCGACAAGTGAGACTTGGGAGCTCAGGGAAGGGAAAGATATGAGGAAGCTGCGATTATAAATTACATGATGTCAGTTGTAAACGATGACAGAAGTGAGGACAAATGAAAGGTAGGGTAACAGTGAGAATCCGGGCTAGGGACGGAGAAAAGACTATCATTGAGGGCATAACTCGAGAGGGGAGGGAACAAGAAGATGGCTTCCTGCATACGCCGGAAATCCAAGAGCGGCCAACAGTGAGATATGGGAAGAGATCCACACGATATATGGTGAAGGGAACGTTAAGCAAGCGGGGGAGTTGTTGGTACCTTATATGTTGAGTTGAACGACTTTCATCCAGTCTGCATCGTAGACCAGTAACGTCAGTATGGAAATCTCGCCATTGACTTTGCACTATGAAGGAAGATAAAGTCGATTGGCGCATCACACTCGGAGGCGAAAGTCACCATCTGCATAAACCGGGAATTGTATGGAGACGGCTAGAGGATCAAAACGCCGGGCCTGGGGATGATGGGTAATTGCAGGAGCAGTACGGAGTAGCGGCTTGGAATAGCAGAGAGGCAAGAAGATAAGAGCATCAGGGGAATCGAAAGCCCACCGATACAATCAATGATTTTCCCGGATGGAAATAGGATCTCCGTATAGGAATAGGGAGGTTATGCCGGGAACTTGATGCGGTCTCCTTAGCTAAGTCATCACTCTTTGCCGCCTCATTCTCCTGGTACGTAGTTGAACCGTAGATAATAGCAGGCAGTGTGGTTCGTAGTAGTGCACGGAGATCCGAGCGATCAGTCAATAATGAAGAGACGAGTGTGCGGAGACCCGACAACAGGGGTGGGTAAACACGCTCGATACCCTGAGGAGGAGTAGAAGCGGGCGCGTGGTGGAAGGATCTTTGGCCTGGCCTAGGTAAGAGGTATGCACCACTTTCTGAGGATCGTCTTCGGAAGTTTGAGGGGCCTCTGGAACTAAAACCAACCTTTCCCCCCCCCTCCGGTCACTCCCAGTGGCGCCCAAAGTAGTGTGTGTCTTCATATAGGCCTCATGGCCGTCGGTTTAATGGGACCTTGGTTCCCCCCCCCCCCCCGCGTCCCCTCCACGGGAAGGACGATCCCTAGTTAAAATCGGGTTTTAAAAGGATCTTGATCTTCTTGGCCTTGAAAATAGTCTCCCGAACTACGGATTGCGACGTACAGCTATTGATTTCCATTAGGGGGATCTTTTTTTCCTTTCCCCTTCCCTTTTCCCTTTTTATTTTTCTTTTCCCTGCGCGTATTGTGTGATTTCAGTATTTTATTTTGGTGCTTCGGTATATTGTAGTACTACTAGACTTCCCCCGCTCATGCGTACTTAAATACGCGATCCACGCCCTCGTGCGCGCTATGTAGTCCACCGTATCCAGTACCCCATGTAGCTACTCTGTAGTAGATGGATAGTACCAGTTAAATAGACTAGACTAGTACTAGCAGCACCCTCCATCATGGAAAATGGCTTTCAATTACCTGTGTGTACAAGATGCCTTGGTCGTAATGTGACACTGACCGTCCACCCCCCCCCAAACACCCCGCCCGGGTCCCTCTCCTCCCCGTTTCCTTCAGCTGACGCCAATGTCAACATGTCAAGGACTCGAAAGTGTCTTGATTATTTCCTCAAAACAAAAATCAATGACTCCCAAGGCTGAAGCAATGGGTAGGGTATCACCAGAAAGCTTTCCGATCCTGCTTGTCTGAGTGGTAACTTACTGTTCTACTCTTTCCCTTGTGCACGGCTAATGGTTACGGTACTGTTCGAATTAGTACCTACGATGACACAAGCTACGTATGAACTATTATGGAGGACCTGTGCGGAAGTAATCTGCCTGGGGCCATTAGTTATTATTATCAAGCAACATAAGAGAAAGAAATCCCCCAAATAACCAATCAATTAGATAGCAGTGATGCGTGATTCTTTAAACCAATCCCTCCCTCCTCCTCCTCCTCGCCCGCCCAGGAAACACAGCAGCTCGCTAGGGCGGGGACTTCTTGATCCTTTGTATGCGACTAGTAATCGCTGCTGTTGACTTACATTTGTTACACTCACTGGATCTAGAACCTTGATCACTTGTTGGTAGTTGCCTAGACACAAGTAGGCTATGATGTTGATGGTTTGTTTGGAGCATTGACAGCATGGATATACTCATACTTACTGCGTTAGCGCTGCTGTATTCGAAAAAGTCATTTGAATTGTTGCAGTGCCCTATGTACACTGGAGTACTTCGAAGGGCTGGTCCGCCCACCCGAATTGCCCACCTGGTTGATGTCCATACGCACTTCTTGGGTATCTGCACGCGTTCCTTGGTCCTTCTACCAATGTATTGGTTTCCCTCTTCCTCCTCAGTCTGACCTTTCCATTCTCTCTAATTTCTAAATTCATGAAACAATTCATAAAGAAACTAGTATAGCCAAAAGACATAGAATCTTGCTTGGGTTTCATCTGTCATTGGGCAACACGCACCGAGAAGCTTTTTCTTTCTTTTGACCGATATCAAAAGCAACCATCAGGAAAAAGGTTGTTCCATTTCTTCAAGACGCCGCATTAGTTGAGCATATGATGTGCTAGGGCTTACCATCCCCTCTTGCCCCCAATTTGCCCCTCTCGGTGCTTCTTGCGCGCTTTTATCGATAACCACTTGTATACAGCATAAGCCATCATGGAGTCCTCGATGCAAAATTCGAATCCGACTATTTTGAATGCTGCAGATCTTCCCACCCGTCTGCGTCCTTCATCATGCAAAGCGGGCACTTACGGAGGCGGAATCCTTGCGTCAGCGCTCCCCTCTCTAGCGGATCCCACCAACTTCAGTCTTAGTGAATCGGAAGAGTCTGATGAAGATGTTGATTTGATGGAAGAGCCGATTGATGAACAGGAGATCTACGGTAAGCTCATCGCTTGTTCCTAAACAAGGGGACCGAGTCGCCCGGGAGCCGATTACCTGACAATCTCTCAGATCTTGTGTCGACCATATCCGACCCCGAGCATCCCATTTCACTTGGAGCTTTGGCAGTCGTTTCACTGCCTGACATTTCTATCAAACCTACCTTGCCGGATGTACCGAGCTCGCTTCTTCGGACAGTATCCGTTCTCATAACCCCGACGATAACACATTGCAGTCTGGCCACAGTGATAGGTCTTGGTGTACGAGTTCGATTGGAGCAATCATTACCTCCGCGTTTTCGTGTGGATGTCCGGATCAAAGAAGGGACACATAGTACTGCCGATGAAGTGAATAAGCAATTGGCCGACAAAGAAAGGGTGGCTGCTGCACTGGAAAATGGTACGCTAATGGGCGTCATCGCAAAGATGCTCGAAACATGCCAATAATCCGATTGTACTGCTATTCGGGCGCCGTTTATGACCCTCGTCGGCGTCTCTACTATGCCATAAGAATACCCGTTTCGATGATGACTCGATTTGACTTCCGATAGTTATACAACAATATGAAAAAAGGAACAAGAGCCACTTACGGCGCTTGTTGCCGCTTCTTTCCACCTATCGACAAAAAATAGCTCAGGAGTCTAAAACGCCACTTTCCTTCAAACCTTTCCAGAGCTCTGGTTCCAAAAACTTGCTGACAGTGACATCCTCAGCCAATCCTTTACGTCTCCGCGTTTTCAAAACGAAGTCGCGGGCTGTGGCCATGGCGGGCGCCATTTCTAAGGGCTTCAACTTGACATCGCGATCCAGTGGATCCCCTGGGACGACGCTCCACTTATCGAAGACTAGACTAACGGCAGCTTGGCCCTGTGTATGGATTCGGAGATCTGTTTCAAACCCGAATGAATCTATCACGGGGATCAAACCACGAACGGAATAGAGTGGAGTTCCTGCTATGGGTCCATCAGAGAGTACATGGCCCCTTCTTCTTGAAAGGACTGTGTACACTGATGCGACAGCGTCCGCCGGTCCAGTCATCGTGCAAGAGTAAATAGGTTCCATTAGGCGTGGTGATGCCATGAGGAAAGATGAGTAGATCGCTCGTCGAGCTGTGGGGATGATTTGACCACCACCCCTGTAAATGGCTTGGTCGGCGAGAGAAACGTCGGTGAGCCTGAATTTCGCATTCCGAATGGCTATTCTTGCAGTTAGTCACAATGAACCGCTCTTCTTCTGCTTCTGTAGCGATATAAACCCCCTATGCGTAGGATCTTGGCGCTATAATTCTCAAAACATTCAAGGGAAGCATGGTGCACTCACGTTCTTCGCAAAGAGGACCTTCTCGTGTTCCCCAAGTAAATCCTTGCGTGATAGAATCTCTTACACTCCCAAGCAACTTCTTGTCGATCTGCGATGGTAGCGTATCATCCTGTAAGATGTTGGGGCCCATCTCGTCTGGACCGAAAGCCCAGATGCTCCTGGCTGCAAGTTTGTCCCAGTCGTACCGCTCTTCGAAAAAGCGCGACACTTTGCGAATCGGGTCTTTGATATTGACAGCACCGCTCTCGATATCCTCGGCGATCCCTTCATCCAGAGGCTCTGCAATCATCGTGATTTTGTTCTTCTTGTTTGGCGTGATCGAATAACACATGATAGCCGAGGTCTCCACAACAGTTTCGCAGAAGCGTGTAACAGGATCTGAAACCTTGATCTCCATTTCAGAATATAGTCTTCGTAGGTCATGAAGCACACAGTCCATATATAGCTCGCCCGTTCCGAGAACTACATGCTCACCAGACTCCTCCACTTTTGTGGATATCAGCGGGTAGCTTTTGTTGACTTTTCGGAGACCCTCAAGCATCTTGGGCAATTCCGACGGATTAACTGGCTCGACAGCAACCTTGAAGACGGACTCTGTCATATGCCGAACTGATCGGAAGATGTATGCATCCTCATCATCTTCCAAGGTGAGAGGCACGATAGTCGCCGTCTTCACAATAGAGTTGTCCACGCCTCCTAGAAGAACCAAGTTGCCGGCAGGTACGCCGCTTGTTGGGATGTTATAGCAAGACTCAGCAATCCATGTGTCGGAAATGGTCGCAATAACCATGTCCTCTTCATCTTCGGGGGTATAACCTTCGCCAAGGACACGGACCTGTTGGCCAGGACGAGCTGTGCCGCTCATTATCCTGCCAAAGGAGTGGAATTTTGAACCGTCCGAACTGTTAAAAAGTTTAGTAACATGTACGACCAGTGGGCCATCGGAATCACAGGCAGCCATAGCTGCCGCCACCTTAGAATCGAGAGGCCCAGTGTAGTACCGCTCAAGCTTCTTTTGAGCACCCTCTGCAGGCGAAGGCACATGCTGGAGAACCATATCCACAAATCCTGTTGCAGACCCGAAGAACTGTTCACAGACAAGGTTGAGTAAAGTCTTCGCATCTGTCTTGAGCTGTGATGGCTTAAGACTAATACCAACGCTCGAAAGCGTTCCCTTTAAGTCCTCCGGGCTCTCGCTTAATGTGTGCGAGTAGAGTTTGTATATGGGCTCGAGAACAAATTGAACAAACGTTCTTTTAGAACCTTCTTCCACTCCTTTTCGTGTGAATTTTCGACTCTTTGGATTGAAAAATATATCGCCCCATAGGCGCAAACAGAATGCGGCTGCTTCAATCTGTGGATGCGTCTCAGAATACATCTTAGCAAATGAATGTAATGTGAAACACCAGCCCATGGAAGCGCAAGCGAAAGCGACGTTTCCCTTCTCAGGGCTCACGCGCCTTGCAGCACCCTGTCCAGGCAGTACGTTCTCGATGATAGTGTTGACCTCCTCGATCACATGTTTAAGCTTGAAATAAGCGTCGTTCGGAGGAATCTTCAATTCCAGGATTAGTCTGTCCATCTTGTTCACCACCAATGTGAGCGGCAAGTCTTCAAGGATAGCATGCTTGATTATTTGCTCGGTGTTGGCCTGGACACCTTCAACCACATCTACTACAAGAACCACCCCATCGACCAACCGACAAGCAGTAGCCACCTCGTCCACAAAGTTCACATGCCCTGGGGTGTCAATGACGTTAAACAAGTGGGATTTGCCCTTGGTGCCCTGGAGTACCAAGCTCATGGGTGACGCTTTAATGGAAAGGCCTCTTTCTCTTTCCAGAAAGTGAACGTCGGTGTAGCGTAGTTGTTCCTCTTTCCGCTTGCCTGTTCGATTCTCGAGGCGACCGGTGAGATCATGGGTCTGAGTGACTAGCATGTCCATGAAAGCCGTTTTTCCATGGTGCAAATGACCAACGAGGGCGATGTTTCGTGTTTGGTCCGGGTAGCTGAGCAAATCCGTCATAAATTCCCGGGAATAATAGACGGGAGGCAATTCGGCTTCTTCGATCGCAAACTTCTTCTGCTGGACCGGGGCGATGATGGGCTCGGACAGAGGCTGTGCATCCTCCTCTTGCACCAGAGTCTCGACATCCTCGCCATATACCTGTTGTGCACTGGGATAGTATTGTTTATCTTCGTGAAGGATGACCGCGTTTGACGGGCCCTCTGTGACTGGTATCAGTAAGGCGGACCTTGCTAACGAGGTGAACATGGAAAAGGTAACTCTACCATCGACATCCATTAACTGTTGCTCATCAACATCATGCGCTTCATCGTCGTCACCGTCCCCGAACGCCTCTTCAAAAGCGAAAGTCTGAGGATGGGCATCCTCATGACGCGGGGACTCCTCGTCCGACCCATCTACCTCTCCAATATAGTTGCCAAACCTGCCGGAAAGCGAAGAGAATAATCAGCCGTGCGCAAGGTGGGATGAGGGGTATGGTGACCAATTGAGACATACTCATCGTAAAGATCGTCCATTTTCCAACGTGGTTGGACTAGAGGCGAATCTTCCGGGGTTTACTTTTCCTTTCTCTCGGCCTCGTCCACCAGCTGGAGAGAGAGGCTCGCGTCGGTTTGGCGATAAGTTTCTAGTAGCTCCGGGACCGAGCTTGGCGTGTTTGCATGGCTCCGGCAAGTTACTCCGAAAGTAGTACGTTTGTCCGTGGCTGCCAGTGGCCGCCGCCCCGCCTCCCGAGACGAAAAAAATAGGGTAATTATTATTGTTGTAAGGAGGGGCCGGCGGCGGGCAGGCCAACGAGTGACCGACTCGGAAAGCAAACAGTTCATCCCGTTCGTTCCCTCGTGGCCTGAGCTACCATTTCACCCTCATTCGTTATTTATTCAAATAGCCTGCCGGTCCTCCTTTTAACTCTTTCTTTCTCCCCTCATCCCCTTTCCGAAATCGCTTGCCTCCAAAAGCACGCATTTGCGCCACCATGTCTTCCCTACCTCCGGTCTACATTGTCTCCGCCGCCCGCACTCCAGTGGGCTCTTTCCTGGGGTGAGACTTCACACAGGGCCGCCAGCAGGCTCTCAGATAAATGGTCCACAGCGAAGCTGATCCTAGTTTCCTTGTTTCGCAGTTCTCTCTCGAGCCAGACCGCTCCGCAGCTGGGTTCCCATGCGATCAAAGGTGTGCCTGCAGTGCTGAAGCGATGGATGATGTGCCCCTGATCGCTGACTGCTTCGATGTCTAGCTGCCCTTAACAAAGCCAATGGGATCAAGCCTTCCGATGTGCAGGAGGTTTTCTTCGGCAACGTTCTTTCTGCGAAGTGGGTTTTCTCGCTTACTGTGTTCATGATTACCCTTTTGCCATGATGCATGCTAATGTTCCCCATCAATCAGTGTCGGACAGAACCCCGCCAGACAATGCGCTCTTGGCGCCGGACTCGACGAGTCAACCGTTTGCACCACTGTTAACAAGGTCTGTGCCTCGGGTTTGAAGGCAGTCATTCTCGGTGCTCAGACCATCATGACTGGAAATGCAGACATCGTTGTGGCAGGCGGTACTGAGTCCATGTCCAATGCCCCGCATTACCTTCCGAACCTCCGCAATGGCGCAAAGTATGGCCACCAGAGCTTGGTGGATGGGATTATGAAGGATGGCTTGACAGATGCGGGAAAGCAGGAGCTTATGGGTCTGCAGGCTGAGGAGTGTGCTCAGGATCATGACTTCACCAGGGAGCAGCAGGATGAGTATGCTATCCGGACCTACCAAAAGGCCCAGGCTGCCCAGAAGGCCGGCCTCTTCGACGAAGAGATTGCACCTGTTGAACTACCCGGCTTCCGGGGTAAGCCAGGTGTCACCGTCGCTCAAGACGATGAGCCCAAGAATGTGAGAACTCATTTCCCCACGTGAGGCAACCTTGGTCCAGGTCGTTCATGTCCAACTGATGCTTTGGCTTTTATTATCTAGCTCAACCCTGATAAGCTTCGAAGCATCAAGCCCGCTTTCATTCCTGGCTCTGGAACCGTGACGGCCCCCAACTCCTCTCCTCTTAACGACGGCGCTGCCGCTGTTGTCTTGGTTTCCGAGGCCAAGGTTAAAGAGCTGAACCTCAAGCCTGTTGCGAAGATTCTCGGTTGGGGAGATGCCGCACACCAACCCAGCAAGTTCACCACTGCTCCTGCGTTGGCGATTCCCAAGGCGCTCAAGCATGCAGGTGTCGCTCAAGATTCCATCGATGCCTTTGAAATCAACGAGGCCTTTAGCGTTGTTGCTCTCGCAAACATGAAGCTTCTGAACCTACCTGAAGAAAAGGTCAACCTTCATGGTGGTGCTGTGGCTATTGGCCACCCCATTGGTGCCAGTGGTGCTAGGATCTTGACTACCCTGCTCGGAGTTCTCAAGGCAAAGAAGGGCAAGCTCGGCTGTGTCGGAATCTGCAACGGTGGTGGTGGTGCCAGTGCCATGGTAGTGGAATCCCTCGTCTAAGCTAGAAAAGTTTCACCTCGTGAACTAAAGTATGCTGTCGCGAAATATGAGGACGGCAAAATATTATAAATACCCTGATCTTGCCGATGCCTAAAGACTGCGCATCATGTTTTAAAGTCAGGGTGAGTGGGTCTGGCATCTGACGAAATGCAATATAATAAATACATGAAATCGGTTCTTTTGTCGGAAAGTCTTGTTTATCCTGTTTATCTTGGCTCAAGCACTGCAATTGACGTACCTAGTACAGAACATCCGTCACCAGCAGTGTAATATTTAATCAAAGCCATGAGTGTTCTGTCTCAATACTACTGTTAAGACGTTAAGGGCTGATGGCCATTTTGTCGTGTATTATACATGGTCATACTGCTACTAGAATTTACTACTTGCTCACCTTCACTTCTCATACAGCGCTCGGCTGCTGCGAAAATCTCTGTACAACACCCATTAGCCAAAAGCGCCTAGATGCGCCTAGATATCTTATTAGCTATTAGCTCTTGACTGGGTCGTATTCTTGATGACATTTCTTAGGATATACTGGCTACAACGCCTCATAAACAGAGGAGTCCTGGGAGATGTTCAAGCAAATGCCCCAACAAATGCCATGAGTAGAGCGCCTCCTGCAACGGCTACACAAGCCTCGACACGCCGTTGACCCCTGAGCGTCGCATAGCTTGATTCACTCAGGAAGTCCTCTGCCAGAAGTTCAACAAGCCCCGCAAATAATAATAGCCCGCTACTGATGGCGTTAGTTATTCCCACTGTGAGTAAGCCTGTCGTACTTGCTGGATCATAGAGGTTATGCAGAACAAGCCCCATAGCTTGCCCTATGGGGGTAGTGGTTCCATAGGCAAGCGCCATGAGCCACGGCCTGTACGATGATGGGGGAAAGAGATCAGGGATCAAAGACGCTATCCGTGATCCAAGAGCAAATCCTTCAAAAGTCTGGTGAAAGCAAATAGCCACAAGAAGGACGATGAATGATGTACCCGTGGCAACACTGAGGGCCATTCCGATGAAAATACTGTGGAAGAGAATTCCGGCTTCGAGCAACAAGCATTGAAGCAATTGGCGCTGTGGATTTTGCCTGGATGACTCGAGGTCGGTCCCCTGATGTACGCTACTATGAGACCGACGGTGACCAGAATGCCACGGCTGCTCATCCCGGTTCTTATGGGAATTGCCGCGAGTATTTTCGAAGGCACTTGGTTCTTCGAATTCCCTGTCGTTGAGTTCGGTAGACACAGCCGAATCCTTAATGTTTGACCCTGAAGGCCCACTGACCGGGGATCTTCCAAGTGACGTGGGAGAGTGTAGAGTCATGCCTTCCCCAAGGCTGTCAAGGTGGACATTGTCGGCCAATCCGTTTCCGTAGTCATTGTCTTCCTCTTGATCGTCACTTGCGAGATCTGCGCCGACGTCGCTGATCAACTGGTCGTATTCGCTCCCATGGACATGGCCCGCACCTTTCAGTGCAAAGAACATCTCAACGAGAACCACCACGAATACGGCAATCATAGCCACAAAGCCGGCCATGGCACGATAGGTCTCGCTCCAGAACCGAGGGAGACAAGGGTCAGTCAATGAGACAAATGCTGTAGGGAGGAGGTGTACGAAGGCTGTTGCAATGAGTACGCCTGTTCCGAAGTGTCTAGAAAGGAAAAGGAACCGGCGTGGGATTGGGAGGCGCGGGAACCGACGAGCAAGAACAGGGAATGAGCACGCTAATATAACCATGGGTTAACAGCCAATCACCCAAGAAGCCAAAGAGAAAGTAAACTGTACCTAACGTGCTAAGCACAAGGATAAGGAACAGTGCAAAGACATGTATCGGCGTGTTATAGGCGCCTCGCTCCCTTGATCCGCAAGTCGAGGTGTCATCGTTAGAAGCCCGAGCATAACTCCGTCGGGAAAGCTCCGTCCGCAAAACAGATTCAGGAATATCGGAGATTAATGAGAACATATATTCAGTCCCTGCAGACAAATATTCGCGTTAGTAGAGAATGAAAATATGCCGTGCGGAGCGGAGCAGGCTGGGAGTTGGACCGGTCAAGGCAAAAAGAGAGATATATGTGCGTCTCCCACATTGTATTTTATTCCCTTTGAACTGAACTTACCTGAACTACTAAGGTCGGTCTGACCCGGCCTTTGGTTTCCGTCCATTCTTGGCTAAATGTCATGTAACGATGTGCTCTCGCCGCATCCATGACCTGAAAACATGCACTGGGCGCCGGCACAGGCTCACGAACGGTTCAGAAGCAGCCTAAGTCGCGTCAGCAGTTGACAATTTTACAATGCAGCGAGCACATACAGTAGCTTCTGCGAGAGGGATAACACCGGAAGTTCTGGCAGCGAGCAGTCTCAATGACGTGATGCACCTACCATGTCTAAAGGAGAGGACGCCTATTCGACATGTAGGGAGACTTTGCCGGTAATCCGGACACGCGGCTCGTTTGTCCAGATAATCTTATCAATCAGTTCCGTGGTTCTCGCTTATCTAATCAAACCGCTGCGCATTTGATTGTTGGATTGACTAATCTGGATAATCTAATCTGGATAATCTCGAAGGAGCGACGTACAAGATGCACACCACAGATGTTTCAGATGGCTATTATCGAGGCTCAAGAATATACTAGGATAACCTCTATTAGTATCAGTTGCTACTCTATATGGGCATAATAGTATGCTGTAAAGAGCAGGACGTAGCTCCTTGAAGTACCCCATACGGGGTAGTCGAGTCCAATTCGGAGAGATATAAGTGCGGCCGAAGGGGTCTCTTCGTACGGCCACGTTAGTATCTGATGATTCTCACCCAGATTTCTTGATAAGGGAGAAAAGAATACTAAGTGTAATGTACTTCTTGGCAGGCGCTGTTGGCTAATGGAAATCTATCTATCTATTTCGTAGAATTTCTTCAATTCAATACTACCTGTTTCTCAGCTTGGTCCAGCCACTGGTACCCTTCATACGAGTGGGTCCACGAGGTCCACTGAGGTTGCTCGCGCCGGCAACTGTATCATTTACGCTATTCCCGCTATTAGTATTACCCTGTCGCTCCGGTGAGGTAGAATCGGTGGATGGATGTTGAATAAGCATTGATTCCCTCGGTTCCTGACTTGCGTCGTCCCAATCGCCTTCCAGCAGCTCCCATTCTGCACTGGCCATTTCACCCAACAGAGTTGATTTCAGCTTATCCACGATCTTTGTTGGAGTTGGAAGTCTCCATGTGCGCATGAATTCAGCCCCCTCGACAGCACCCAGAAAGGAATGTGCAGTCCCATGCGAGTAATGCCCTAGCATAGGGAATGACATTGTGCGCTGAATGGTAGTTTTGGGTGAGTCCTTTGATACCCTCATCTTCGCCTGTATATCGCGTCCAGCAAAGGCTCTTGATAGTGTCGATGGCTGCGCAGGTGGTGCCACAAGGAGTTGCCACAAATTCTTCCCAACGTTACAAACTTCTTCCCAGGACTCCGATGTTATGTTTATTCCCTGAGTTCGACATAGCCACGACACATTCCATGCCAGTATTGTTACCCCTTCAAGAAATAGTGCATATGTTCCAGGGTCTTCCCTAGCCAGTTTCGGAAGTGCTCTGTCGATGGAGAGGGGCCGAGGTCTGGAAGGGCGAGGCGATGCGGTTCTAGTTCCAGGCGGTACAGATGGTGGATGACGTAGCGAATATGTTACGGAATTTGGATCTCGTGAAAGATAGGAAGCAGAAGGTGCGCATATAGTGGGTATAGGATGGTCTTTATGAGGTAAAGTGATTTCCGCTGGGAGTCTGAGAGACAGATAATGCGAAACAAGGACGAGAAGGTGAGCAACATTGAAGAGGGAGGTGGATATATAAGCTGGCGTGACACCTGTTAAAGCATTACTAACTGATATAAATCAAAAGTCGCAGAGCTGTAACTTTCCGTTCATGTCCCTCAAATCGATGATATCTATACCACCCATCGTGTAGACCTCTTGGGACATTCCTTCCTTACTCCTTGTCTTCCGCTGTAGCCCATAAAGATTGGCAGCTTCTCGGCAGAGAAATATTCGGGCCTCTGCAGTTTTGCTATGGAGCGAGTGCCAGAGATGATCCGTTCTCTTAGTATTATTCTGGATGTTGGCCAGAATTGCAGCTTCCCGCTCGCCGAGCTGATACTGTGCAGATTCAGAGTCCGAGTGCCGTCGCGCTAGTGCGAGCCTGCGTTGGGAAATTTCAAGTCTTTTGTCCTTGATCTCAGCAGTCAGGTTTTCGAGTTGATCACCGAGTAGCCTCAACCTTTCACACGACTCAGCTTCTCCCTTAGCGATCATCTGTAAGCTTCGCTTGGCAGAGAGCCCATTTTGATAAGCAATGGCGGTTTCTTTGATTTCACCCGACCATTCCGCTTGGGTTGTCTCAGGGGTCACTCTAGCTTGGATATGTTCCGCAATAGACTGTTTCTCAAGCAGGACCCTCGCGTTCTCAACCCGGAGCTGATACAGCTGACTACGGGCACAGGTAGGGCAGAAAAACCGGGTTCGCGAAGCTGGAGCGCGAAAACATGTATGACAGCTCATCTCCAAAAGCTTTGACTCACTCTCGGTTGATCGATACCGCCGTAGCTCACAGTCGCATGGCCTTGGGCTTCCGGTGATGGAATACCAACTCGACTGTCTGGCTTCGAGCACGTAGGTTGCATGAACAAATCATGAAAAAGGGGGGCACTCATGTCTTAATCGGATTAAGTGATGACATAGGACGATATGTGATCGATAAGTGTCACTGGATTTACTTATCTGAAGCCAACGAAAGGGACCGCCGTTTGCGTCACGTCACCTGACCAACTGTATATATGTACTGGGTGTTTGACAGGAGGCACATATATATATGTTACGTAAGCGACATCGGTTGTCGTAATCATCACACCGCTCCTTTGTGCTTAAGTGCGTATCCGTAACAGTATCATTGAACTTACAACCGAGTATCAGCAGCTGAGAATTTATCAGCTTCGGTTCAGTACGGGGAAGTTGTTAGTATAAACAAATATTATAGGTCGCTGTATTGTTATGAGGCATGTTAATTGAGCATACCAACCGGCTTGCCCTTACACACACTGAATACCTTAGCGAAACGTATAATTGCATTTGCAGAAGCCCATTGGTTTTAATATAGTGCTGCTTAATCGCAACTATCAGCGGCTTCCAGGAGCTGAATGATGCGGTTATTGGAATTCGACGCAGTGAGATGGACCTGCAGGTGATCACCACTTTCAGCCTATCTAAACATATCAATCGAAAGCAGTATGTGCGATGTATGGTGGATAGTTGCGATCACCTGACTCATCTCGTTTCCCCCTCAGGGAGTTTCGATGCTAGACTGAGCCATAGATTAAGTTCACAAATTGCGTACTTCTGCCATACACTCAAAAAGAGCAAGTTCTAGCGCTAGGCGGTGTAAGTTGAGCCACGCATATTTCTATGGTGCGTATGCTAACATTTGACAGGGTTCTCCTGGTACATACCCAGTTAGTTGAGCATCGAACGTGAGCATGGTCGGCAATAACACGCGGTCCATGTCTGCACGATATATTTAGATCTCACTTCTCTGTATCTATTGCTACTGCTCCTGCTCCTATTCGAGCTGATTCTTAGTCCGAGAAGCTATAGTCTAATCATCGGCATGACTTCTCTAAACAGGGACTTTGCAGGCTCCAATTTCCCGGGTAGTGATCTGCATCAGAACGACCTTCGCACCGAGTCTCTGAAGACCCTTCAGCAGTATATGTCTCCACCTTCAGGAAACCTAATGGACTATGATTGGGACCAACTCCAAGAAGAATACATCGCTTCTATGGAAAAGCATGAAAATGCTGAAAGAGACTTACGTAACCGTGTCGCCAAGTTGCTTGAGGTGTTTACAGCCGTCATTGATCTCGTGGCCTTTAGCTGATATTCTCATTTAGATCTTCATGGCGTGGTCGGAGACAACTGTTATGCGCGATGAAACCAGAGCTTTAAAAAGGTTGGTCCTTCCAAGTCCCCGAAGTCTTCAACACAATCACTGATGTTATTGTAGATTTAAGACACAAATGAAACATGTTCAGACATCTGAAGAAGATCTAGAACTGAAACGTAAACACTGTACGTAAAATCAGTTTCAGCTAAACCCGTTTGTATGTATAATTTTGCTGACGATGACTCAGATGTCGATGTTGTGAAGGCTTTCGAAAGTGCCCTCGCTTTATTGAACGACCGCCTCAAGTCGTAACATTACTCGAGGGCGGTTTTTTCGAGCCCTCTCCGTTTCCAGACCCCATACCAAAACCGCAGAAAATTACACATTATCACAGCTTATCATATAATGTATTTAATGAAGTTCCACTGCTTCCTTCGCATGGGAATAGATAATTTAGACCGAACTGTTACCATCCAGACTATCACCGTTCCTCTATATCGACTTGAAAAGGCCATATACGTCCAAATAACCTACTCCCCTGCTCTGGTTGAGAAGTTGTTTCGTCCTCCGACACTATGATAGGTGTCAGTAACACCTCTCCCAGAGCTTGTCAGTAGCCGTTCCTCCTCAGCCTCCTCAGCTTCCTGGTCCAGTAGACGTTCATCAAGTTTCGGATGGCGGATGAAAGAGGTGACCAAGACGAGCAAGTAGACACCTGAGATTTTAGATCTTATAAGCCTGTGGCTAGATTTTATGAAGACTGGAGGTTCCCACTTACCGAGAAAGATAAATTGAGACCAGAAAAATACTGTGCCGAAAAAGGGATAGCTTATCGTCACGCGGTTGAGGAACATACTAGTGACGCTGGGTGTGCAGACTTGCTTGGCAGCCGTGTTGTCTGTTAGTTCCGAGCATGGCTTGATCAGGCGTTTGTTAGTCAAACAATCCGATTGCTGGCCCGGCGGGCGATCACAGAATGTTTGTGGTCCAAAAGTTGCGTACTGGGGTGCAACAAGCATGGGGATCGAATAGTCCAAAGCTAGTATTGTCAAAATCAGCATGGCAGTGGTCAGCAGCAGGGCTTGTGGAGACGTGTGCCCCAATCTGATCCGAAATATTCTGATCCATAGAAAGCGAATGCCAATGGTAGATATCCCGACCACAGAACTGCCAAACAGCAACAAAACAACTACTGTAAAGACGGCGTAGTCGATCGGAAATACCTTTGCTGATTGAACGAATACCCAGTTCAAGGGATTGAAAACCCCAATGCGACTGAGTATGTATCCGCAACGTTGTTTGCACATAGAATTCTTGGCTTTGTCAATTGCCGTCAAGAGCATCGATATCCATATCATGAGTGCGACTAAGAGAATGGCAATGCCGCCTAGGAGCTTTAATGGGCGGAAGAAAGCCGTAACCTTTAGCCATGCCCTCATAAATCGGCCTCGACCTTCACCGTCAGCCTCTTCTGCCAAACGTTGCCGCCTAATAAGCGTCCTCTCATCTCGAACGAGGGTATCGAGCTCTCTACGTTCCTTAGAAGAGAGGAGACCCGGATCTCCTCTACAGCGCCCTTCCAGCTGGCGCTGACGCTCTCGATTAGATTCGAGCTGTGCACCTGTCGACGCTTTCCAGGTCATGTCTGACACAGATGGAGCTGCTCGTATCATCCTCATGGGAAGAACGGCAAGGCCCGTTGAGGTATATAAGACATAAAGGAACAGCCCCAGAGTTATCAATAACCCAAGGGTGAATGTAATGACCCTCTCTCCACCTGAAAGGAAACCAATCAGTATTAACTTATGATGAACAGGTATTTTCTTTTCTTTTCTTTTCTTTTCTTTTTTTTTTTTAGAAAAAAGGGGGAAATAAGGACATGCTGGAGGGAAGCGAAGGGAGAACTCACGATTCTCAGCCAGAAGCTTCCTGAGATAGTCTGAAACATTGCTGTCCTTAATATTCGAAACAGGGACAAGAAAGCCAACAATGAAAAGCACAACCACTATCGCAATAAACGAGATAGTGTACTTAAACGCGGTCCAGAGTCGTTTGGCAGCAGATTGCTCACCGGATTCGGCAGCCACTTCATCGTATTCTTCGTACCAGAAATAGACAAATGGAATTGCGAGAAGGCATAGGAATGCATCAAGCGAGTAGAGGAGATAGTACACAGCCGTTAATAGAGAAACAATCTTGTCTACTTCATCCTGAGTGGCCCAAGGTTTTCTTTGACCAAGCTTCGAGGATGTGGTAGAGGATATTAAAGCAACATCCACGGGCAACAAGAGAACAGTGGCAAGTAAGCTTGTAATCGCGACAATACACGTGAACGTCACAACTGAAGAGCGATCCCGAGGCGTTTGATATGTATAGATGAACACCGACGCTACCATTACCAGAACAGCTACCACAATAGCGTATACTGCCCATATAAGGGATGTTTGTAAGAGGGCCATCTTGGTTATAGGGATAGATTAGGCCCTACGAAAGGCGAAAGACAACAGTTCCGCAAAGGGTTGGGTGCATGTATTGTCAAGACTCCAGATCCGATGGAATTTTCACATCGGAGTAGATGGATAGACGAGCTAGATCCTATTCTGTTTCAAGTTGTATTCATACCCAAATCACTCAAGACGGGCATGACGATAGGTATAAGCAAGGCAGGCAGGTAGAGAAATAGATTAGCTGTTGAGGACCACCAACAATCAACGTTCTTTTTGGGGTCAAAAAGTCCGCATGTATTACGTCATCGTCTGGGAGGCCAGATGTATTGTCACGTGTTGCGTCGCACTTGAAGCACGGAACCTCCAATCATGCCCGTCCCAGCTAGGAATGTTATGATAAAGCTTGGGTTTACTATTTATTTTCGTCGCCGTCATCCCAGGCTTAACACAATCATTCCCTTTATTCACAACAATCATATCCGCTTAGCCCTTTCTTACTTTCCTGGCAATGCTGCCTTTTGCGCAGGGCAGTAGAGTAAACTGGGTTTGACGAGGAGAGTCAAACACTCCTGGGCAAAGCAATTTTCTGGTTTGGCAAACGCATGATGCAGTGCTATACTGAACTATTGCCCCCGACTGGGGTCACCCATGCTTTGGCGGTCCCTTTCCTTGCGGCAACATCAAATGATCTGATCGTGGTTAGAACATCACTGCTTCAGATCTATTCGCTGCATAAAGTTACCTCCCATGCGGAAGGAGCCGACGCCCAGCAGGAATTGACGAAGCTCCTCCTGGAAAAAGAGTATTCACTTTCGGGAACTGTAACTGGTCTTTGTCGGGTCAAGGTTCTCAACAGCAGGAGTGGCGGAGAAGCTGTTTTGGTCGCCTTTCGAAATGCCAAACTTAGCTTGATTGAATGGGACCCAGAGCGTCGAAGCATCTCCACCATCTCCATTCATTATTACGAGCGAGATGATCTGACCCGTAGTCCATGGGTTCCTGACCTGAAAAACTGTGGCAGCATCCTCAGTGTGGACCCAAGCAGTAGATGTGCAATATTCAACTTTGGAATTCGGAATCTCGCCATTATTCCTTTCCACCAGCCAGGAGATGACCTGGTGATGGATGATTATGGGTCAGACCTCGGGGAAGGAATGTCAACTGACCACGATCTCGGAGGTGGCACTGATAAGGCCAAAGAGGGTATTGCGTATCAAACTCCATATGCCCCGTCTTTTGTTCTGCCCTTGACGGCATTGGATCCTTCCATACTTCACCCAATAAGCCTTGCTTTCCTATACGAGTATAGGGAGCCGACCTTTGGCATATTATATTCTCAAGTTGCGACATCAAGTGCCCTCCTGCCTGAAAGAAAAGACGTGGTATTCTATACTGTGTTTACGCTAGATTTGGAGCAGCAAGCATCCACGATATTACTTTCCGTGTCAAGGCTGCCTAGTGATCTGTTTAGGGTGGTGGCCCTCCCACCTCCTGTCGGCGGCGCTTTACTGATCGGGTCCAATGAATTAGTGCATATTGACCAGGCAGGCAAGACAAATGCCGTTGGAGTTAACGAGTTCTCAAGACAAGTTTCATCATTTTCTATGACAGACCAATCCGATTTGGCACTACGTCTTGAGAATTGTATCGTTGAGTGTCTCGGGGATAGCAGCGGGGACATGCTTTTGGTGCTTTCTACCGGGGAGATGGCCATCGTGAAATTCAAGTTAGATGGGAGGTCAGTCTCTGGGATCTCGGTTCACCTGCTGCCGGCTCACGCAGGCCTTACCTCCATGAATTCCGCGGCAGCTGCTTCAACCTTCATAGGTGATGGGAAAATTTTCCTGGGCAGCGAGGATGGCGATTCGGTGCTTTTAGGTTATTCTTGTTCATCCTCCAGCACAAAAAAGCACCGTCTGCAAGCAAAGCAAGCGATAGATGACTCTGCGGATATGTCAGAAGAGGACCAGAGTGAGGACGATGTGTATGAAGACGATCTTTATTCTACGTCCCCGGACACAACACTTACCGGCCGCCGTCCGTCAGGAGAATCATCTGCTTTCGGGCTGTATGACTTCCGGATGCACGATAAGCTTATCAACATTGGCCCTTTGAGGGACATAACCATGGGAAGGAAGCTACCCACGAACCAAGAAAAGGGAGGCGATCGTACTAATAGTACTTCTCCAGAGCTGCAAATAGTAGCTTCCCAAGGCTCACACAAAAGTGGCGGGTTGGTAGTAATGGCCCGCGAGATCGATCCCCATGTCGTCGCCTCAATTTCACTTGAGTCAGTAGACAGTATCTGGACAGCTTCATTGACCTGGGAGGAAGAAGCTGTGTCGAGAACGTCTGAGAAGATAGGGCAACGATCACAGCGATGCTATGTTATTGCAACAGAGGCCAAAGCTTCCGATAGGGAAGAATCGCTCATCTTCGTTGTGGATGGCCATGATCTAAAGCCTTTCAGAGCGCCCGATTTTAATCCCAACGAAGATGTGACAATTAACATTGGGACACAGGAAAGCAGGAAGCGCGTGGTTCAAGTCCTGAAGAACGAGGTGCGGAGTTATGACATTGGTAAGTTCACAACGAGCCCGGTGTCGATGTAACTTTTCTGATGGAACAGACCTGGGTTTAACTCAAATATACCCGATATGGGACGATGACACCAATGATGAACGAATGGCTGTTAGTGCCAGTTTGGCCGACTCTTGTCTTGCAATCCTACGGGACGATTCTACGTTATTGTTCCTTCAAGCAGACGACAGTGGAGACCTTGATGAAGTAGTCCTTGGTGAGGATGTGGCATCTGGAAAGTGGATATCCTGTTGCTTGTACAGCGATAAAACTGGGTTGTTTTCCTCCATCGATCGAACACTGAGTGAGCCGGTCAAGAACGATATGTTTCTATTCCTACTCAGCCATGATTCCAAGCTCTTCGTAAGTATCATGAACCCACTACGCGAGATTTTCTGCTCTGATCGTCTTCTACCCTGCGTTGATGGCATCTAATGCTTCCCAAATCATCAGGTATATCGCGTCCGCGATCAAAAGCTGCTATCGATAATCGAGGGGCTGGACGGCCTGTCGCCTCTGTTATCCAGTGAGCCACCCAAGCGGTCTGGCACACGTGAAAATTTGATAGAGGCAATCGTTGCTGATCTCGGTGAAACATGGAGTGCTTCGCCGTACTTGATTGTATGTCACCATACTGGTCACTCTAGACCGCCTCTCATCACTAGCTCTGGTGCGCTAACCAAAGCCCTGATAGTTACGATCTGAAACCGATGACTTGATAATCTACAAACCTTTTGTGATTCCAACAGGTCCAACCGGAGAGATTCACACCCTGAAGTTTTCCAAAGAAAACAACAGTGTTCTGCCGATGATCTCACCTGATGTCGACTCAGCACAGCCCAGTGGGTCAGATTATAGGGCTAGGCCACTGCGCATCCTGCCCGATATCTCGGGACTCAGTGCTGTATTCATGCCTGGTGCTTCAGCAGGCTTCGTTCTCAGAACATCTGCAAGTGCGCCACACTTTCTGCGCTTAAGAGGGGAAAGTCCCCGGTGCGTAAGCAGCTTAGATACCTCTGAATGTAGTAGGGGGTTTATCTCTATGGACTCGCAGGTTCGCAATGACAGGATAATTCGTTATATTGATATGCTAACCTAGTGGGCAGAGAACAATTCGATTTTGTCAGCTGCCCCCTATGACACGATTCGATTACCAGTGGACTTTGAAAAAGGTGCACCTAGGAGAACAAGTTGATCACTTAGCTTATTCCACCTCTTCCGGGATGTACGTACTAGGGACGTGTCATGCAACTGATTTCAAATTGCCCGAGGATGACGAGTTGCACCCAGAATGGCGTAACGAAGGTTTGTGCTCTATCTGCCCAATTCAGGGGACCAGGCTGAAACTGTCTAGCTATTTCGTTTTTCCCATCGGCGCGTGGAAGCTTTGTAAAGCTTGTTAGCCCCAATACATGGTCTATCATCGACAGGTATGAAGTCATCATCTGCAGCTTTAAGACTAGGTCATCCTAACTCTTCACTTGCACAGTTATTCCCTCGGCACAGACGAGTACGTCATGGCAATCAAGAACATAAGCCTTGAAATATCGGAAAACACCCACGAACGCAAGGACTTGATCGTCGTGGGTACTGCGTTCGCCCGGGGCGAAGACATACCCTCACGCGGCTGCATCTATGTTTTCGAGGTCGTGCAGGTTGTTCCAGACCCAGACGACCCTGAGACAGATCGCAAGTTGAAGCTTATCGGTAAAGAATCAGTGAAGGGCGCCGTGACTGCCCTATCTGAAATCGGCGGCCAGGGCTTCGTCCTGGTGGCACAAGGACAAAAGTGTATGGTCAGAGGCCTTAAGGAGGATGGTAGCCTTCTCCCTGTTGCTTTCATGGATATGCAGTGTTATGTCAGTGTCGTGAAAGAGCTCAAAGGCACTGGGATGTGCATCCTTGGCGATGCCGTGAAAGGGATATGGTTCGCAGGCTATTCGGTATTGTCCCCATGCTCGGTCACTATGGAACCAACATGAGCATATCAAGCTAACATGTCCGCTTTCTAGGAGGAGCCCTACAAAATGAGCCTTTTTGCCAAGGATTTAGACTACCTTGAAGTGTCCGCGGCTGAATTTCTTCCAGACGGTAAAAGGCTATTCATTGTTGTGGCTGACAGCGATTGCAACATCCATGTATTGCAGTATGATCCGGAAGGTAGGACTGGACAGCCGAAAGGATTACTCAAGGACTCAGCTAATTGCAACAGATCCCAAATCCTCGAACGGTGACAAGCTGCTTAGCCGCAGTAGATTTCATACGGGCAACTTCGCCTCCACGTTGACTCTTCTACCACGTACAATGGTCTCTTCAGAGAAGATGATTTCCAATTCGGACGACATGGATATCGACAACCAGAGCGCCCTCCACCAAGTCCTGATGACCACACAGAACGGCTCTCTTGGCTTGATTACCTGCATGCCTGAAGAGTCATACCGCAGATTGTCTGCTTTACAGTCACAACTGACGAATACACTGGAACACCCCTGCGGTCTCAATCCTCGAGCCTTCCGAGCTGTGGAGAGCGATGGCACAGCTGGTAGGGGTATGCTCGACGGTAATCTCTTGTTTAAATGGATAGATATGAGCAAGCAACGCAAGACAGAGATCGCAGGACGCGTGGGTGCACGTGAATGGGAGATAAAGGCCGACCTTGAGGCCATTAGTGGTGATGGTCTTGGCTATCTCTAACTACACCAACCCTTAAGGAACCTGTTGCTCATATTCTGTACTAGCCCGGAGTGTCGGCTAGCTAGATCAGAAACCGAACTCTCTACGAAAACTTGGCTAGAGTGTTGTCACAGATACAATGGGGCAGGTTCTACTCCATGCTCGCATGAAGTAAATTCACGTCAACATGTATATTGTAAGGGCTAGTTCCGTGTATACCTGCAATTCGTTCAGCGTGGATAATTATTACACATTGTAGTTTCCCCATATAAAACCAAAACAGTGCGCACAAAACGCAAGTGCAGTGCATCACAGATACCGACGGATGAAGACAAATGTAACAACAATTTTTGGTACAGGAACGTTCCAGACGACCAGCCGAGCAATACTCTTTCTTCGGTCCCGTAGCCGGCGAAAATAATTACCAGACAAAAACCTCCTTTCACATATATGCAACCAGAAGAAGAAGAAAGCAGGATGATGGAAGAAGGACGGCAACCTGAGAAACACAAATGAATAGGGAGCCGAGTCCGAGAAATAGAGTGGAAGAAAGGTGTTAAAAAAAAAAAAAAGGATAATCGAAGAGAATCACGCCCGAAAGGCGCAAAGACCAAAAGCCGCTTCCTATCCGTGACTCCATCGCGCCGCGACTTATCCTTACCGGGAAGGGTCGTATAAATAACCGTACATCCCAAGACCCAGATGGGAGGGGGAATAAATAGAGAGGAAGAGAGAGAGAGAGAGAAAACAACCCAGATAAAGGCGAGAAAGTATAGAAGCGAGACAGGAGATAAGGGGAACGGAGCGTGGTGGAAGAAGGATGCGTGAAAGGGCAAACAGGAAGATGGAAGTGACGGACTAGGCTGGTGTCTGCCAGAGGAAGAGCTCTGGTTCAGATTCAACCAGCCTGCCAGGCAGTGTGGGCGAACGCAGGATGCACAAGCAATCAAAGAAACAATTGGAGCAGTTGCTGGAGTCTAGGAAACTGCTCTCAAGCCCGACTGCAGATGCATGAAACCAACCCCGATGGCTCTCATCACCCATTTCATCGTCAAAAGACATCTTCTGCAGCGAAATATCGTTTGCTTCGTCCGCGCGCAGCAACAAACTTCACTTCAGGTAGGTTTGTATGGTGCACTACATGTGGTCGATATACTGCATCGACTGGTGCTTGCCAATCATCCAAGCCCAAGGGGAAATACTCATATAACAAGTCAGCGCTCTCATTTGGAAATGGGAGCGTCGAAGCGAAGGGCTGCTGCATATTGGTATTATTCAGTAAGGGTAGAGAGGACGAGCTTCGCGATTGTGTTTCGGGTAAGCCATGAGACAACTTGCGCATCTTGGCCGGAGGGGCTGCAGAATTATCCATGTTCATAAGCTTGTGTGACATATCATTTGTAAATGAGGAGGCCGGCCTGGCCGAATCAGCTGGGTTGACCGAATCATTGCCATCATCATCTTCGAGGAGCGATAGATTGATGGGGGCGGCAACTGGATGTCGCTGGGCTTCTGTAGGCCGTGAGAACTCCGGGCTAGACTGAGTATATACCGTCGAGTGAGGCAAAGTCGTCGATGGATGCGCACCGCCAACGGGAGGCGGCACTTGCGCCCAATCCGGGGAAGCTTGTTGGCCAACTACACCACCTTGGGACGTAGACGTCTCTGGGGAACTGCTCTTCAATGTGGCTTTGGCCTTGGCCGGTGCATGTGGCGCAGAATCACCGGTTGGGGTTCGGTTGACAGCAGCCGACTGAGCTGCTTGTGCGCTTTTGCGTGACGCCGCAGCACTGTTGCTCAATGGCAAGTCCTTGCGAGACTGGAAATTGCGTGGGCTCCGGCCCCGGACTATGACAGGGCCCGACTGTACCTCGCAGACTGGTATCTTGGCACCGGTAGACAGCGTAGCTACAACCTTCAAACGAATAACGAAGTGTTGTTGGAGCTCTTTTCTGCGCCCATTATTCGCAGTAGCAACGCGGAATTGAAGTCGTTTCCAGGCAATAGGGAAGGTGGCGTAGTCAGTATCAAGGTCTTGTCCGGCCATGATATCTAATGGAATCGGAGGTGGCTCCTTTTCAACCTTGATAGTAGGATTGTTGCTATTAGGGTTACCGCCGTTTCCGCTGGAAACATTGTTCCCATCTTCAGCTGTAGGATTCACATTTGCGGCGGGTGTCTTCCAAGGAACCGAGATTATCTTGACGGAATTGCCTTCAACGGACTCCGTAGCAGACACAGTGAGTTCTTGGGCCAAAATAGGGATCCGGTCGCCTTGCTCCGTCATAATGTAGCGTAAGCTCCGTGGGAGGGTAACAGAGCCTGTTATCTGAAACAGGTTTCGGCGGTAGCACGTCAGCTCCGCTCCCTGCTGAGGCGGGGCATTCTCGGCAGGGGATGTGGTCCAAGGCGACTCTGCAAGAAAGAACATGCCGTGCAGCTGAGCAGAGAGCGATATTGAGGTGCGGCGTAGAGAGTAATCTAAGAGAGTGAAGCCGTACGCAGGCATGGAGAAGCTCAGTAGTTTATTGTTATGATCTATAGAATCAGGAGGTTGCTCGGGCGGCGCAGGTTCGAACGGAGCGACCATGTCTGTAAATGGATCTTCATAACCAGAGGGAAATCGTTTCAACGATGCGGGAGGTAAAGCATGTTGAGAAAATGCGATGTCGTCCCCACTAGCGGGATTGTATGTCAGATGCGAACTATGGAGGGAAGGATGTCAGCTCAACTCACCTCACGAATGTTTCGGAGTCGAAATTAGAACGTTGTTCAGGCAGGTCCATGCCGGACATTGAATTGAGGTAATCGGTGCTCTGCATATTACCGAGCGATAACGGGCTGGCCAGGTAAGGCATAGCCATGGTATCAAAGCCCTCCATGGCGGGGCGGCAGGACACGATGCGTTTAGGACAACCGAGATGATTGAGGTAAAATCGGGATCTTTAATATGCCGGGAAGTGTTCAGACTCAATAGGTAGAAGAGGCCGGATGAAAGTGCATGAAGAGGTTGACGAAGGACAGAGTTCAAAGACGAGTCGATATCGGCAAGGATGAAGCAGAACGGTCGCGACGAGCGCGGAGGACGCGGGTTAAGCTAGAGGGGGGAGAGTACATGGAAGGGTTGGACCCAAAGAGAAGCCAGCCGCGGACGTAACTGGCGCGATTTGGGGACAAAAGAAGACGAGGAAGGAGGAGGGGAGTAGATCACCTAAAGTGGGATAAGAAAGAGTAATGGCAAAGTACCGGGAAGGTACAAGAAGGGGAGAAGGGGAGAAAGAGGTGGAAGAGGTGGAAGAGGAGGAGGAGGAGGAGCAGCAGTAGTGGCGGTAGTTGTAGTTTGCAGCAAGTAGTAGCAAGTAGGAAAAGATCATGAAGAAATGCGGAGTGTAAGTAAGTAAGTAGTAGGAGTAATAGAAGTAGTAGTGGTAATAGTGATAGCAGGAGCAGCAAGCAGCCACCGCCTGGAGTGGATCGGATTCGCCCGAAGTCAGTGCATTTGGAGAAAGCAGCTTGTGGTTGGTGGAGACGGGAGTGATTCCTCAGGGAAAGAGCGTCCAAAGAAGTTAACGATTCACTAGACAAGATCCGGAGCGAGCCTAGGCTGGCATGGATGGGGATTTCGGGAGGAGATAAGAGAGGAAGGGCCAGGCAGACGGACCCGGCGATGGGGCCGCAGCAAGAGCCAGCAAGAGAGGGGCGGATGGTGGAGAAGGGGAAAGTGAGAAACAAAAAATAGAAAGGTTAGAAAATAAAAGGAAAAAAAAAAAAAAAAACAAATTGGAAAAGTAGATAGAAGGAGAGAAATAAAGAAAGAAATTAAACTGGTAAGAGGAGAGGAGAGTGGAGTGGAGGGGAGGGGAGGGGAGGGGAGGGGGGAAGAGTGGAGGGACTGGAGACCAGACAGACAGAGAGCGCGCGCGAGAGAGAAGAGAGAAGAGAAAGAGCTGAGACGGACTGGCCAGACGTTTCGGGGATTTGGCTCACAGTACGGATAAAGTACAGAAGTCAAAACGTCCACTTTTTCTTTTTACCTTTCCCTGGATCGAGTTTAGCTTGAAGGGAATTACCTAAGGTACCCACGAATGAAGACAACACATTCTTAATTCGGTTACTTTACTTTACTTTACAGTTACCGAAGGGGTTTTAAGTTGAACAAGAGAAGCTGATACGCTGGACCGGTGTGGATTACCACGCTCTCAGACCAAAAAGCATCTGAACAAGCTGAGATCCCGTTTGTTGCTTCTTCCTCGGATTACTATGCGGAGCACATCCAAGGTTAAGATCAAATGAAAGAAGAAAAAAGAAAGAATCCACCTCCGTGAAGCCGAAGACGGGTATTTGGGATCGGTATTGCAGCCCGCAACACTCCTAATTCGTCACAAAAGAGAAGGACTCGGAATCACTTAGTAGTTAATCCACTGAAAGAGAGACCCTCATTTGCTCTTCATTTTTCACACGTCCCTCCTCTTTCGGGTTGTCTTCCTTGCTATTCATTTTTCTTTTAATTTTTATCTGCTTTTGTTTTGCCCTCTTTGGAACCCCTCGATTCGTATTCCTGCAGAAATGGCAATTAAAAAAAAAAAAAAAAAAGAAGAAGAAGAAGAAGAAGAGGAAGAGGAAGAAAGCGCCAAAAGAAGTTTGGTCGGAGACAAAGACAGCAGACAGGACTACCTACACTACACTACAACAAGACCGAAATCTGAAATTTTGAGAAGTTTCTTTGACACTTTCGATGAAGACCGCATTCCCTCGTCTTTGAAGAGCAATTGTCCCGGGAGGTCGTACACTAGTATGCTCTAGCGTTCCCGGGAAAATCATTAGGCTATGGCGCACAAGATGACAGCCACTAGGTCAGGGATGGTGCCAAAGTTTGTACGAAGCTGTAGACTGCTGTGAGTCAACAAAGTGGCATACCTTCATCCCTCTCTGATCAGGAACAACACAATGTTGATCACGTGTTCAGGAGCTACTGGTCTACACCAGTGTTATTGTTGATTTTTGCCCGCCGTTGGTACCTT